AGCGGACGGCCGTCACGCTTTTGCGCCCTCCCTGAGGTACAGTCATGGGCGCGGAGCACGTGACACGCTTGCAGACTTTTCTCTGGCAATCCTTGACGACAACAAGGCTGCTGGCTTGCTGACGCTGCTGGAGAACGGCGTGCCAAAGGCCCCTGGGTTCAGATGGTCCATGGGGGTCCACTTCTAGTTTTGCTTTAGATCCTGAGAGCTCTTCGTCAGCCCAGGTGAGCGGTTGGGATGACCTTGCAGGGAAGACGATTATTGTTGCTGGGCCCCTGCAAAAGGAAAATGTTGGAATTGTTCTTCTCGTAGTGGCTGCAAGTTGAAAAGCATCGCGTGCAAGACTCGTTGCAAGACTAGGATGTTGGAGGGTGGGCGCCCACGGCCGACGGCCTCGGCTACGTGACAAACTTCTGCTCCAACCAGCCGTACTCGAGCAACTTCACACTCAAGGTCGGTCCGGAGAACGATGACGCGATGAGGATGCTGCGAGAGGGCCAGGGAGATGGAGTCTTTCTCTATGCCGACCAGGCCGAGCGCTACCAGTGCACCAGCACGGACATCGCACAGGAGCCAGCTCGCTTGTGACATGCACCCAGCATGGTTCAGAGAGGGCCTGAAGCCTGGGGCTGTCTGCTACATACTCGTAGCGTGCATTTCTGTCCAAACTTGCGCTTCTCTCGTGGCAGCCACCAAGATTATCCATGAAGTACTCTGTCTAGTATGCACATCCTTGCAGCCTGGGCCCTAGATCGAGAGAGTTGTTGTTGCAAGCGTTCTTAGAGTCGCGTTGCGTGATGCAGGAGTGGAACTGCAGCCTTTGGGCAGGCTTTGGCACAGATTACGCATACGTACAGACGGGGCAGAAGGGTTGGGCAATCAACGGCACCACCCTGGCGATGACAAAGCCGGGCTCCACAGTGCCAGGCCTCATCAACTCCTGCCTTGCCAGCTTCATGCAAACCGAGGAGTATTACAACATATGTGCCAAGCATGGCTTCGTCGACAACTGCTACCCCAACAGCTTCTTCCCAAACGGCGG